CGCCCCCGCCCGCTCGGCTCCGCCCCCGCCAGCTCGACCCCTCCCCGGCCGCGCGGTCCCCGCCAACCACGTGTCCGCCTCCGGCTCCTGCGCTCAGGACCCGCCCCCACTTGGCCCCGCCCCCGGAAGGCTCCGCCCCAAACCCATCTAGCCCCGCCCATACTGGGTAGACTTCGCCAATCACAACTTCTCTTCTGCTTCGGGTCCCGCCTCCCCCCGCCTCTCTCTGGATCAAGCTCCGCCCCGATGCCAGCCCCGCCCAGAACGCGTTGTCCCTGGCAACTCAATCCTAGTCCCATGCTGCCTGCTGGCTCCGCCCCTTTGGCGCCTCTAAATAACGGCGAATCCCCGCGCGCGGTCCTAGGCTCCTTCCTTTCTCCCATCCCAGCCATCAGATTCCCAGGTCACGCCGGCTGTTCGCAGACCTCTCCCAGGAACCCTCGATCCCCAAAGCTTTCCTCGTGAGGTCCTGCGGCGCCTCCCTTGCCGGTCTGTCCACGCAGAGGGGACACAGGCGGGGGACGAGGACCCTGCGGGACACGGGAGGCCTGGGCTTAAGGATGAAAGCTCGCTCAGGCGCCGCCGGAGCCTCCCCGACCCAGGACCGCCCTGGTCCGAGGTGTGGACCCACGTCCGGAGGAGTGAGGCCGGAGGGGTAAAACCTGGGTAGCGAGGGCTGCCACCAGGAAAAGCGACAAGTGTCCCGGAGTGGCCAGAGGGTCACTGCGAAACAGCCCAGGCGTCCCTCCCTGTTGCAAGCTCTCTCCACCGGCTGTGACAAAAGAGGTCAACTCTGGGATTTTGGGTCCCGCATTCCTGTCCCCAAGGGGGCATCCAGAGGAACAGTAGTGGATCCCTCCGCGCAGGTCCTGCAGCCAGGCGCCCGTCCCCGCGCGAGGACCGGACCTGCGGGGGACCTGGGTTTGCCATGGCGACCCCTTGTGGTGCAGGAGGCAGCCGCAGGCGCGCGCCGGAGACCAGCCGATGCGGTGGCAGAGCCCCCAGGGCTTGGGAGCGGTGCGGAGAGAAGTTGAGGCCGCAAGGAGGGCGCAGACTTCCTCCGTGATCTCAGCGGAGGTAGGGTGATCAGCTAGAAAAGACGGACGTGACCACGGTTAGTACCCAGTTCCTCGGGCTGTGTGGAGCCTCTTTGAGTGGCTTTGCCTCTCTGGGCCGTTGGGGGCAGGGCCAGGTCCCGAACAGCTCTGGGCACAGGCTGGGGCCCACAGGATGCGGGCACGGAGCAGCATCCGGGTAGGGTGGCCAGCGTGAGCCTGTCCAGCCAGGGCGAAGCAGAGGGATCAGCGTTATTATTCGCGGAAGCATCCGGCGTGACCGCGGCTCACCCCAGCATTTCTGTCCAGAGCAGTCTCTGTCCCCGACGGCGGCGAGTCCCCGATGCCACAGCGACTCTGTCCTATCGCCCTCTCATTTGATGCTCCAAGTAAGGCGCGATCGACTGGGGGACACAAGCTGCGCACTGAGGACCCAGCCCCCTCGCACCCGGGTGCTGAGGGCCCTTTTCCTGAGCAAGCAGCACTGCCAGCCGCCAGCAGAGGGCGCTGCCAGGGTGGGCACCGGGCCAACCACATGCCCTGCGGTCCAACAAGGCAGCCACTGGCCACATGTGGCTCCCCAGCACTTGAAAGGCGGCCAGCCCAAGTCGTGATGTTGTCTGTGCATAAAATACCAGATGTCATAAATTTAATGCCTAGAAAAGTAAAAAAGAAAAACCACTGATTTTTAAATATTGATTGTTAGAATTTTAATATGTTGGGTTAAATAAAATATAGTTAAAATCACTTCACCTTTCTTTTTACTTTTTAACACGGCTACTGGAAACACTTTCATTGCTCAAGTGGCAAACATCAGGCCGCACTGGACAGCACTGGTAAGCACAGGGACTCCTCAGTAGGGCGCCTTGGCCAACAGCATCCACAGGGAGGGTCGGGAGGCACGGTAGAAGTGGCTACAGTTTCTTGGGGCCCTCGAAGGATGGGGTGCCCAGTGGAGGGAAGCACCTGAAGCACCTGAAACTCGCCGAGCACTTTTGCCATGCTTTTGTCATTTTTTGTCCAGCATCCCTGCTGGTTCCACTGACAGGGCAAGTGACTGCCCCAAGGTCACGTGGCCAGGAGTGAAACCTGGGCTCCAACCTTCTCCAGCCTTCGGCCAAACCTCCCAGCCTCACATCTGTAAGCTGAAGGATGCCCCCTCCTTGTGGCTTGTCAGGGCTGTCAGGGCTGCCAGAGAAAAGGCACTTTCCTGTTGTCAGAGAAAAAGGGTGGCCACCCAGGCTGTGACCCAGCTGGGGGCAGGGGACAGAGGTGAAGGAACAAGAGGCTTCCTTGGAGACCCAGCATGCTGCCTCTGCAGGTGAGCCAGGATGAGTCCTGCACACTGGGCCCCTGCAGCAGTGGGCCAGAGGACCGTAGCTAAGCGGTCACACTGTGGGGACCCCCGCCTCCCACCCAGCTGATGGGCAGAAAACTGGAAGAGAGGGCAGGGTCACCCTGCATGCGCCCTGGCTGCAGGGGTGGGGCTCAGCTCCTCCGACCCTGTATCCCCATCTGCATGCGCACAGGCTCTACCTGGGGACTTGGAACTCTCGGCTGGGGAGAGAGCAACTGAGGCTCCAGAGTGGGCTGCCCGATGCAAATGTGAATACTGGCCGCGTGACATCTGGCTTGGGACAACCTCCCTGGGCCTCTGCTTCCACATCTATAAGATGCGGGGTGGGGGGGGCAGTGGTGGTGACTCTGTCCTCACCTTCTGAGATGTCAGGCCCCAGCCAAGCCTCTTTGGGGTCTGAAAGGTAGTCTGGAAATAATGGGAAAGCTGACCATGGTGGTGCATGCCTGGAATTCCAGCACTCAGGAGGCTGAGGCAGGAGGATCGCTGCAAGTTCAAAATCAGCCTGGGCTACATAGCAAGTTCAAGGCCTTGTCTCTTAGTGAAATCTTGTCTCAAAAACAAAACAACACAGAACAAAAGAATAGGGAGGGGAAGCACTCTGCATGGAAGGCTCACTGTCCAGAGGGCAGAGGGCCATCTGTGTCATCCATAGCTCTCTACGGGGCTGGCGAGCGGGGTCACCCTGGTGCCCTGGTTTCCAGGACCAGCTACCTGCTCTGTGGCTGGGATGGTCCCCTCCTGAGGGCCCTGCTAGCTCCAGCACTGTCCAGGATGTCCCTGCCACCCAGAAGATGCCATGCAACCATCCCCAGGCAGCTGGAAGCCTTGATAGGCAGGAAGGCAGAAGAGGCCCAGGGAATCACCTCTGCTTCCCCCAAGCAGGCAGCTGCGATGGGTGGGGCCCTGGGCTCGTGGCCTCACCTCCCCGGGTGCTGAGGAGTTCGTCATGGAACAAATGTGTTTGAGGGACGCTTGACCCTTGGGTTAGCAGGAAGCCGGCTCCAGAGCAGACGCAGCTCCCCTTCAGGCGGGGCCTCTCCTGTCCTTGGCTGGGTACTTAACCTCTGTGACCTCCGTTTCCCCTGCTGTGATTCCTGAGGGCTGAGTGGACCCAGGCTGTTTGGTCCTTACCATGGAGCTCCACAGCCGGGCCACACACAGTGGCAGCGCTCATGGTGGTCTCCGCGTGAAGCCGCAGGGGCTGGGTCCCACCAACCCGGATGAGCACAGAGGCAGGCAGAGCCAGGGGCGTGACAAGAGGTCCCCGGTGAATGAAGACGGGCCCAAAAGTGGAGAAGGGAGGAGGTAGAGGAGTTCGTGGAGGAACAAACGTGTTCAAGGGACGCCTGACCCCGCCCGCAGCTTGCAGGGCGCTGACTACCAATGCCGCCAGCTTGGGAAAGGGCTTTGTCACTCCCGGCCTCCAGGCGCCCTGCAGCAGCCAGTGTGCTCATTTAGTGGCCAGCCCACAGCCCCCGAACTGCGCTGCTCCCGCGGATCACCCCGCGGCGTCTGTCACTGCCAGCTCCCCCGTGCCACGCTCCCTGAGCGGCGCTGCAGGAGGGTGCCGGGTCCCTGGAGCAGGGGACACAGCTCAGCCGCCAGCAGCTGTGCAGCCCTCTCCCACGCCCTGGTCTTTTCTTTGTCTTTTCCTTTGTGTAATGGCTCAATCATCCATCGACAGCCGGGAGCTCGCAGGCTCACATTTTGGCCGAGGACGACCCCCAAGCTCTCCCGCACCAGGCCTGCACCAGGCTCACTGCCCCTCGGCCAGCTCGACCCAGAACTCCACGCAGGCAGGGCCGCGTCCCACAGGCGACTGTCACCTCCTGTTACCCGGGACCTGTCTGCTCACCCGCCGGCCCAGCCCCTGCTGCCCTTGAGTCCCCCGTGGCCCTGCTCGGGGCCTGAGCTGAGGACCTCATGAGCGAGGGAACTTGTGCCAGTAAGCAAAATGGAGCTGCAGGCTGGGCCACCTTCTCCCCCACCCCTCACCTTGCACCCCAGCTCCCAGGCCAGGGGTCGGGGCAGAGAAGAGACAGGAGGGGGCTGGCAACCAGTCACATTGTTGGCACAGCCCTGGTGACAGTGTCACCGTCTCGCTGGCCCCAGAGCCTGGTGGCCCCTGGGTGGAGCTGGCAGAGTCAGGGATCCCAGCACAGGGGTGGGGACGGAGGTGCCAGAGGTGGCTCTGGGTGCCAACACAGCCTAGAAGGTGGGGAGGCCCCCACGCCCACAGGTGCTGGTGAGGCCGCTGGAAGCTTGCCTGGCTGGCGAAGGGGCTTCTGTCCCAGGGTTGCAGGCAGCCGGCACCTGCCCCAGGGCCGTTACACGGGCTCAGCATGACAGCAAGGTCCAGGGAAGAAGGAGGCGTCACTGGCAGGCGGCCTGAGAGACCTTCAGCTCTCCAGCAAGCTGTCCCAGGGGCGCTGGCGTCCTCCCGGGCGGGCAGCCTACCCTCTGGTGGGCGGTCACAGCCACAGGTCAACCTGCCTCCCTGCTCCAGGGGATAGCTTCCTGCTCTCTCCAGTTCAGGGGGGTCATGCTGCACAGCCGGTGGGGCACCTTCCACTCCTGTCCTGGGCAGGGCAGGCCTGCCCCCCCCAACCTGCCAGCTGTGTCTCTGTTCTCGCTGCCAGGGGCCACATGTCCCACTGAAGGGTGGCCGCTCGCTGTCCTCTGGGTCCAGGGCCAGACTGCGCTGCTGCGGCTCCTTCCAGGGTGCTGGGACGTAAAAAAGGCCACACTGCCCCGGCACGGGCGCTGGCGCGAGGTCTGCGGAAGGCACGGGGGGCGGGGCCCCAGGACGCGCGCACACCGCACGTGAGCGCACAGGCCAGCGCACGGAGGGACCGCCTCTTGGGCACACCCACGCGGGCCTCCGCCGTCTGACTCCGCGCGGCGCCAGGCGCACCGGGAGGAAGGGCTCAAGCGGGCGGCTCCTCCGCACAGCGGGGCTTTGCCTACAAGTCCGGGTCCTGGTGGCTGCACACGACGCCTGCGTCCTCCTCGTGCCCGCAGTTGTGCGTGCCCACGCCGGCATGCGAGCAATGCAGCAGGTTGCGCTCGGAGCCCGCGCAGCGCACGTCGTCCAGCAGGATGGGCAGCGCCTGGCCCTCGCCAAACTCGGCGCGCTTCACCGCGCGCATGGCTTGGGCAAAGCCCAGCTGGCGACACACGACGGCAGCGGCCTTGGCGTCCCAGGCATCGTCGCACACGGTGCCCCAGCGTCCGCCCACGAACACCTCCACGCGGCCGCGGCCGGGGCCCAGCCCCACGGGCC